AAAGCTCCTTCCTCAATGACCGGATTGTGGGTGTGATAGGTCCAACAAACCTTTTCCCATACAAATACGACATAGGCAAATACACCATTCGGCAATGACACCACATTCTTCCTGTAAGTGTAAAATTTGAAATTCATAAACCGTAAAGATTAGAAGTTAGGCAGTTAACAGCATGGACAAGTCTATGGACATATTAATGCTAGTAAGACCTCTATTATTTAATCAAGATTTTTAATGAAAGGAGGTTTGAATTTATCTTATCCTGCCTAGAATGAACTTAAAGCACCGAAATGAAATGTCCAATAATGATGAGAGACCTGGATGAAATGGCAGAGAGTAAGGACATAGCCATACTTCAGGCGGCAGTGGATTATTCCCAGACCATTCATATGCCCCAAGTACCTATCATCATCAGAGATGCATGTCAACTAATATTTCTGAATGACTACACCGTGGGAACAATCCAACAAGATAAACATAGAGTTCATACTGAAAGCCACATTTTGCCCCAAGAAGTAATTGCAGTCACGCCACCATGGTCTAATATCCATTTCCGTGCAAGTTCGATTGCCCCTTGTCCATCATCCGCACCTTCGCCAAGCAACCTCAAAGTAACATAATTTAGTGCAGTACCAAACATGGTACTTGGCCCCTCGATATGCAGACCCCATCCCCCATCTTCATTCTGCAAACACAATTCATCCGTAAATTTCTTATCGTATTATCAAACAGAGAGAAAGTAACCTGAAATTCTATATGGAAAGGAAAGCGTTCTTAATAAAATAAAAAATGAAAAACTATGATTTCATGAGAAACCATTCTTGCCTGATGATTATAAAGATATCTGCACATCTCACGTTGATGCTCTTTGGATAACACAGCATTTAGAGCTCCAGTAATTGAAAGTGTAATGACCTGTTGCAATTGATGAGTAATACTTAGTCACCCAACAATTACCAACTGGATCAAATAATAAAGAATTTAATCATTTCAGTAAGAAGAAAGGATGTTAAGTTCCAAAACGACATGCAGCCATCTTTTGGAATGTCAAACTTATTTCTCAGATTTAACCATGATATCTATGTTTTCCGTGTTTAGGGTACAAGCATTGATGGAAACACATAGTGATTACTGGTTTTATCCCGTACCAAACCAGGGAGCAGAAACATGGGACCCCCACAATCCCCAGCCCAATGACCGTCATGCGCCTGGATTGCTGAATAAAAACTGAGAGCCCTTCGTAAAGTGGTTGCCACTGCCTCTTCCTTCACCCCTTCTTGATCTTTAACTTTGAGTTGCGGTAGATTAGTGGCACGTGGATTCTCCTTTGCCAACTACATTTCAGAAATAAGAACAAAACACATTCATTTAAAAAAGGAAAGTAGGGTTACAAAACATGGGTAATTAAACAACCCAAATACTAACCTCAAAACTAGAGATGGGCAAAATACCCATGGGTTTGGGTAGCTGCAGTTATCCGCCCATTTAAAGTTTACAGTTATGGTTATAGGTAACCGTTTAGACGAACAAACGGTTATGGGTGTAACCGTTTATCCGTGAAATTTAAATGGGCGGTTATGGGTATTACCCACGGTTATAACGGGTATCCATCAGTTATAGTTATTACTCACGGTTATAACGGATATCCATTTACCCATTTAATTTAATATATGTAAAATAAAAAATAAAAAATAAAAATAAAAACCCTAAATTTTCAATTTCTTCGCCAAACTTAGAGTCGCAAACACCTCGTCCCCCGCTCATCTCTCCCTCCTTGCTGCCATCTCTCTCATCTCTGAACTAATCCCGAAAATTTCAGCTTGCGATTTGGCTACATCTTTAAAAGTGTTCGGTAATCTCGAACCGACCGAATATTATAATATATATATATATATATATATATAATTAGAAGGCATACATGATACTGAAACATTATACATAACATAGGCATATATAAAATTAGAAGGCATACATGATACTGAAGCAGTAAACTATATATTATACATATACACTGAAGCAGTAAATAAAATGTTAAAAGGTATTTCGGGTTTAATACAGCTCTTCCAAGCAACTTTGCCCTGTCTCGCTTCTGTCACCCTCTTCTGATTCCTCGCATAATACCTATCCAAATTATCTTTCAAAGACAGAGACTATAACGGTGTTTAATTGTCAGAAAACAAAAATTATGACAAATTTTTCTTTTGTAATTTTCAAGATGTTAAAAAAAAAATGTAGAGGGTGAAAAGGGGTAAATGGGTAAAAAAATGATAAACGGGTTTAAAAACGGATAAACGGTTATGGTTAAATGGGTAAACGGTTATGGTTAAATGGGTACACGGTTATGGGTATGGTTAACCATTTATAAACAGTTATAGGTATAGGTATAACCGTTTATGCAATTACCCAACAGGTAAACGGTTATACGGGTATGAACACAAACGGTTATGAGTAAATAACCGCGGTTACCTGTCCGTCATAACCGTTGCCCATCCTTACTCAGAGCTCATATGATTTGGCCTAAACTAACTAAAATTATTTGCTCACATTGGCAGGCGATTAACAAATTAGGCACAATTTAGGAGACTAATTGCAAGGATGGATAAAACACACCGGCAGCTATAAGTTTTATACAAAAGCACTCCAACAGTTCACTTGGAGAACACGGTACCCGAAACACATATCCCTCGAAAGAAAAACGTCATTCAAACTTACAATGCCTAATACTACACAAGAAAGCCTACAATGCAGTGTGAAAAACCTGACCATCTTGTTCAACAGCATTATCAAATTCAAGAGTTCTACTGATTTTATACATAATTCGACGATCCAGAACACCACAACGATAATTTGAACAGATTACATACAAATTTCACTAAATAAATAAATACCCTTTTCCCAGCCATATGCAGTATATTCAATTTCTAGAGAATGAAATGAGAAAAAAAAAAAAGCAAAACCCAGGTGAAAAAGAACCTGAATTCTCATGAGGAGGTCAGAGCTGTTCTGCCTTTCGAAACGATTGTTCCAGAAAGCCTTGCGGGCATCTTCAATTTGCTGAAGCTCTTCTGGGGTTCCAATCTCTGGGTGGAACTCCCACACTTGGCGGCCCAAGTGGTTGTTCACACTCTTCAGCCACTGACCGCCACTTTCTCCTCCTACTGTCTCTGCCCCTACCTTCAGCTTCCACATTTTTTACTTCTCTTTTAATTCTTCAGAACTAATGAGTTCTTGCAAATTTGCCAATCAATGCCAAAGAAAGTTTGAATCTTTTTTTATGGGTTTTGTGTTAATTGGAGAAATTGATTGAAAGAAAGACTCTGTTTCTTCAACTTGGAATTGGGTTCTGAGTGGAAAGAAAGAAACTTGGAATTGGGCATTTGAAAGTTGCCACTTGGTACAACATTTGTGCTGAATAATCGTGCATTTATACAAAAAAGCATAATTTTGCTGGCCATGTGAGCACATCAATAGACAATAATCGTGCATTTATACAAAAAAAATATCCGTATTATTCTAATATATAGTTAAATACTATTTTAGACTTCGACATAAAAAGTGTACTCAATTAATTATACTTAAGTTGATCTGTTAATTTTTTGAGGGTAAATCTAAGGAAAACTAATGAAAAATGGCTTGATAATTTTAAGTTTTAACGATAAGGACAAAATAAAGGGTAAAGTGAATAGTACCAAAATTGACTTTTTAGTGTAAAAATGTGGTTTTTCGTTAAAGTGAATAGTACCGGAAACTTTTCATTAAAGTTCATGTAAATCTATACCGTTGGTGTTTGTGCTAGTACCGGTAGTGTATGTGCTTATGTTAGTTATTTGACGATTACTATTTATGCTTGTTTGTACGAATTATCTCCAGATCATTAAATTTAACTGGAAAATACACTCATGTGGTAACCTTGTAACTGTTATAGTCCGTTAATGGAATTTTGTTGTCGCTCCTTAGAAATCTTTTGACAAATTTCTTGTATGAGATATTTTTTCACATCATCACGAGAATTCGCCTCCCCTAAAAGAATAGAGTAAATTGTAACAATAGTCTTTCAACTTTAACTCAATTAGAGCAATAGTCCCTTAACTAAAAATTCATTACCATTGATCTCTCAACTCATCAAAACGTGCAGCTATAGTCTCTCAACTAAAAATCCATTACCAATGGTCCATCAACTTTAATCAAACTGGAGAAATGGTTCCTCAACTTTAACCAAATTGTAGCAATGGTCCTTCCAACATAACTCATTTTGACAAAATTCTGACGAAGTTAACAAAAAGGATCATAGCTACACATTTTGATGAATTGAGGGACCAATGGTAATAGATTTTTAGTTGAGGGACCATTGCTCCAATTTAATTAAAGTTGAGAGACTATTGTTACAATTTACTCAAAAGAATATTGTTGTATAAATAACATACTAGTAGTTTGACTGTTTTGTTGAATTGAATGGAAAATTGGTTCTTGTTGCATAATTTGCATTAAATTAATCAGATCTAACTTCTAACAACTACTAGTGTAAATGGATAAAGATGAATGCACACAATTCTCATCCATAGCTGGATCATTATCACTAACAAAGTCTAGCATAGCGCCTAGTCACTACATAAATGCTTATTGATCTACATTGTCCATGCTCACCATAACCAATTTATTTCAAAACTAGGGTCACCACCAATCACAACCATATATTATCGAGACATTATTGTATATAATATGTGTGATGACATGTCCTTATTTTTTATGTAATTTTTTCCCGAGTATGTGAATTGACTATTATGCCCTTAGAGGCAAGTGACGTGGACGTGTTTATTTCTCCCTCAATTTATTTTCTCACTTTCATAATTAATTTGTACACACTGTTATGAGTGTATGTGAATTTTTATCAGTGTAGAAACACTATTACGGATAGATTTTGATTTCTTTTTACTGTAGAAAACCTAAAACCATATCCCTTGTATTCTTTAAATCCACCCGTGCCCTCTCTCCTTTTTCTTCACTCATCAATCAACTCCCTCAAATCTCTCATCAATCTATCCTTTGCCTTTACACGACACCCAATCAGAAAAACAAGAAAATATCTCACTCTTTCTCTTTTCCTTTTCTCTCTCTACAGAAGCTCTTTTCCTCTGCAACTGCTATGAACAAGCCCAAAGCTCATAGATCGAGCTTAAAAACCTCAACATTACGTTCATCTCATCTTCACGAACTCAACCATACCAACCAACCTTAGTTTGACATAGTTTTGGACGTCGAACTCGGAATGTCCGAACTCAATGAGTTTGAGTTCATCAATTTTCAGGCCAAGTTAAGGAATTTTGAAGGTCGAGGAAGCTTTCCCACAACTTCCTGAGACCTCTAGGACAATTTTGAAGGAGCTTGGATGTCGAAACAACTGAGTTTTGATGAGTTCACTTTTGGCCGGAACTTTCGAGGTGATTTTCGACCACCTCTGTCCACTTTTTGGACTCCAAAGAGGTATAACGCGATTCTATTCTTTATAAGATTCAAATCCATATAAAGTAGGTCGAAAATGGTTGAGAAATGAAGAAGTTATGCAAGTTTGAAATTTTTCCAGCAAACCGGTGAGATTCGGGTTGCAGACGGCAGTGCTGGCGGTGGAGGACGGGAACAGACGACAGAGCTCACCAGAGAAGACAGGGAATATTCCATCAAAATCGATGGAATATTCTAACGGCGTTAGTTGCGTTAGGTAACGCCGTTAATCTCTGTTAAGCTTTTAACGGAATATTCCTAACGGCGTCAGTCATATTGACGGCATGTGCCTGCGCGTGGGGGCTCATCTAGCCGTGCCTTGGCTGGTGCGTGTGGGGTCCAAAAATTTATCTGAAAATTTGTGTAGGTCTGTGACGTCGAATAAATCGATTTAATGTATTTAAACCCTAGGTTTGAGCAAACTATAGGGGTTTTATTTAAGTTTCCGTATATGTGCTTTAATTAATTCTATTAGAGTTATTTCACATATAGGGGAAATGTATCCCAAGGACTTACGGGGTCAAGCTAGGCTCGGGGGCTACGACTCGGCAACGTACTTATGAGTGGGCAGTTTATTTTATACCTACACATATTTTTAGTTTTCCTAAATGCGTAGTTACTTCACTTTTACGCTTATAATGCCAAGTATTCATTATTGTGATATAAATTGTGATAAATGCTGCTATATGGTTGAGATATTATTGTCATGACATTCATACATATTTGTACATGCTCATCTGCTCCACCTCGGTGTTACCAGGGCTAGGGCCAATCCTTCACGTGTATGTTCACATCTGCACCATTCGCTCGCCTTGGATCCAAGTTAGGTTTCAGTCATGTCGTACATATTGCATTAGGCAATTTCGACTCCTATGTGATCGCGCCTCGACACCAGTCTTCACATGATCGTAGTACTAGAACGTATTGATTACAACCAGTCCTGTTTTACAGGTTGCATTATGAAACTCCGACTTGTGTGCTAGCGTAAATTGATGAGCCATTGATTATATTTGTTTATCACATGATTATATTACCATGGCATTTGATATATCATGACTTGGCATAGTTCTGGTTATAAATGTTGTTGTATTATTGTTTACATACTTATGTAGTATGCTTTAAGGAAACTATACTTGTTTTATGATGAGGGGTTAGTATGTTCAAAAATAAAGATTTTCGTACGACCGTTGTTTTGCTGACCCACTCAACTTTGTTTTTCGCCCCTCCAGGATCTAGATAGCTGATTTCTTCGTGGCACTCGAGGAACCTTTGGTAGTTCTAACATATCTTCGGTTTAGACGTACGAACCTATCACTGTTGTGTAATAAGTGTACTTTAGCTGCTTTGACTACTCTTTGGTAGTCGTACTGTCTTTTAAGCTCTGAATAATTGTAGTGGGTTATTCCCATGATTGCGCACTCTTTCACTGATTAGTATAATTAGTTCAAATTAGTTTTAAATTTATTCACTTTTTCACATCACTTTCCCTTATGGTTACGTTACCTCACAGTGATGGCCATCACGCTTCGACCTTCCTAGGTCGGGGTGTGTCAATATGAAAAATGTTAGGAAGATTAAATTTTTGTATGGTATTAGCGTACCATTTGATATAATAAGGGATATTTACGTGTTGTGCCAAGTAATACGTTTTTCTCATTAGATGTTGGTTAGATATGCATCATTTACATTAACGTCATCAAAAATTTTTATCAAAGTTTTGTAATGTATGTTTCAATTTATTATGAGCTATTACATGTAATTATTTGTAATTTATTATGGGAGTATTATTTGTCGTGATCTTATCCATTGGAGTTAGTTTTGTAAAATTTGGCATAGATATTTGTCGTAAAATTATTATGAGAGTATTATTTGTCGTGTTCTTTTTCACTGGAGTTAGTTTTGTAAAATTTGGCATATATATTTGTCGGAAAACGAATTTTGTTGATGATTACTTTCCTCGTTTCTGTTTATATTACAATTTGGAATTCATCCTTTTTGAGAAAAAATTTCTTTATTGTCCACTATTAATCGCTTGGCCTCGTAACATTCTTATATAGTTTTTGTTTTCTTTTGCATTGTATGCCCTGTTATCAACCAAAAGAAAGAGTTAAGTAGGATTAGTCGGGCCAACATGTAAAACAATGGCAACAATTACGAAGAAAAATAGTCATGGCTCAGAGGGCACACTGGTAAGTTGACACAGCCAGCCATAACTTTTTCTGACCAAGTATTTGGCCGAATATTGTTTGGCCTTTGTAGGAAATAGCATGTCTAAGCAAGTATTCGTCTGTCTTCTCACATAATTCTAATATTCCATAAATGACAAAATGAGGTTGAACTTCATAAATGATGAGTTTACAATTAATTTATTTTTCACTTTCTTAATATACATATATCGTTATATATAAAAAAAAAAACAAAAGCCGTGAATAACAACTATACAATATTAAAAAAAAAAAAGACCCTGTTAAGTTTTTTTTTATTTTTTTTTAGGTAACATAAGACCATCTCCAACCCTTGGGATAAACCTTAAAAATTTAAGCCAAAAAATTTTAAGCCATAAGTCAGAAACTATTTTTCGCTTCTAGCTCTTGTGGCTTAAAATTTTAGCCTGTGATGATTAAATAATGATTTTAGCCTAATTTTTTGTTTTCAGTAACTTTTTTTAAAATAAAATTTATGTAGATTATTTGTAACGACCCGTTCCCAATTTTTACGGTTTATATAATTTTAATAAGTGAATTTACAAAAATGCCCTTCGAGGCAAAGATGTTGACTATTGTTGATTGCCTTTGTTGGAAGTATGCCCACAAAGCCACTCATTTGATGTAATAGCTTTTTGGAATACTTATTATGTTAAACTTTTATATGTTTAATAGAAGGGCAAAGCTTATTGTTAATCACTATTTATAGTATCTTGTGTTTAAGCAATAAGGGAATCCAAAGAATGTATTTGATCTAAGAGACAAGTGATTTAAGTTAGTTAAATTAACGAGACCTTTCTCTTATGTTCATTCCTAAAACGTTCCTAGCCATAGGATTGCCAATTGGGCATTGACAATCCGCTAAGGTTAGTATGTGTTATGTCGACTCAAGCGTGAGTATGAACTAGTCTCAAGTCATTTGGTGTTGGACACTAAGGCAAACACATAGGTGCTCGAAAGAGTAATCGAGTACACTGAACTACGATCAAACAAGAGTTCGAACATACATGTCATGTAAGAACTCAATAGTTGCAATATGCAAAGTAGTCCTTTGACCTGAGGCATCATTGATGTCTAATGGTTAGGTCCTTGATCTTTGATTATGTCAACGGCATTCCATTGGAGTGTCCACGGCATTGTTGGGGTCAAGCTATCTAGTCATGTAGGCATATGAATGTACAACAAGGGATCTCTAACCTTCCATGATGGAAGGAGAATACTCTAAGATATGATTCGAGAGTCTTTGGCCAAAGCATATGAATATGACTAAGGAAGATGTTCCAAATCTTATTCGATTGAATCATATAAAGAAGTATCACATTGGATAGTAGACATGAAACAAACTATCACTCAAACAATGTGATTAAGAGTATTGTATTAGAGAAGGACCGTATTGCATTGTAGTTGTAACTGGATAGGTTCTCCAACCACTTCTACTTAGCTTGGGTAACCATGACATGCTGCTAGGCGTCACCCATGGTTTGTGGAAGCCCTAAAGATTAGCAAACACTAATTTAAGGGAGAATTGAAATGTGGTTTCAATTCACAATCGATAGTTAAGAGTAACATCGCCCACTGCCTCGCTAATTGGAACCTAATGGATCGTACACCGAGTAAAGATATAAGTGAAGAAATTATATGAAATGGATATGCAATTAAATGGTTTAATTGAAGAATGGTCAAGATTAATTAAATAGTTAATTAATTATACGAAACGTTCGTATTGGGCGTTTAAGTTAGTTTTGGGCTTCGGGGCACAAAAACGTTTTGGGCCACAAGGCCCATTATGTTTAAGTTGTATGACAACTAAAACAAAATGGGCAATTAAGCCCAATAACAACTAATGGCCGGCCATAAGGGTGGAGGGTAGTGAACTTGGCTTAATTGCAAGTTTGCCACTCCATTGTGAGGTGGTATAAAGACATCTTTATAGCCATTTCATCCTTAGGGTTTCTAATTGAATTTGGGTGAAACCTATTCTCTCATTTTCACCTTAGGGGAGGAACATCTAGCAATCTTTCTTCCCTAAGTCATCCATTTCATCTTCAAACAATATCTTTGGTGTGGAGACTTAGAGACACCAAACTTTTGGTGTTTTGGAGAACAAATCCTCAAATCCTCAAAGAAGAAAAGGAGCACTAAAAGGGAGGAAATCACAAGGAAGATTCAAGGAGCAAGGAGGTGACTTGAAGGCCCTCCACTTGGGTGAATCCCTTGTGTAATCAAGGATGAGCTTCAAGGGTAAAGAATCTCTAAATTCTTATTCTCTTTAATTTTGTTAAAGAGTCTTACGGTTCACCATATACTAGGCTTTGAAAGTCATGGGTTTTATGAATTGTTTTTGAATGCATGCCTACTTTAAAGAGTTATTAGTTTGCATATGTATTCAAATGTTCTTACATGTTCTTAGCTAGGACAAAATTTTTCCTTCAAGTGGTATCAAGAGCCTAGGCCTAGTTTATGGTGGATCCTTTTGGGTTTTGTGATTTTTCATATTTTGTGATTTAAGTGTTGTAAATGTTACAAGCTTTGTTCTTGCTTTGAATATAAATTTTACTTGAAAATTTAGCATCTCAAATGTTGTAGATGTATTTCATTAAAGCATGAATAATGGAACTAAAAGTTGGTGCCAAGTGTTTTGGGAATTTCGGCCAAATCCAAAGGGTGATTTTTTGGGTTCATGTTAGGCTTGTTAAAATGGTTTTAAAGTGCTTTTTGGAACCCCTAAGTACCCTAGGATAATAACCCTCTTTTGAGTTGTGAAAATTTGAGTTTTGATGGAAGAAAACATCCATGGTGCTATTATGAGTTTTCATGTATGTTCTTCATATTTCTTGAAGTTCTTATCAAGAACAAAAAGTTTTGAAGTTTTGATTCAAAAGTTTTATGTTTTACATAAAGTTTTGATTATTAGTTGATGGGTGATGATTATGTCAAAAATATATTTTTGAATATTAGTTAATGGATGATGTTTGTTGGTAAGAAATGATTAAATGGTTTTAATTATATCAAAGGTATATTTTCTTTTCAAACCAACCCCACTATCTTTAATCTCACCCACCAAAATCCACTTACAAAATTTTATTGTATCAAAAACTCAATATATCTATGAATGGCCGGCCACCCCTCTAGTGGGGGGCTTTTGTGCAATTAAATAAAGTTTTGATACTTTTGTGTATTTGTATTATGGCCCAAAAGTTTGTGTATTTGCAAAATGGCCCAAATAGAATGAGAACAAAAATTGTTTTGTCTCTTTAATGAGAATTGGATTTTCATTATATTTAGTTCCATTTAAATCAATTCTATGGATCCAAAAACCAATTGTTTAAAGTTGCTTTCTTAGTTAATTTAGTTAATTGAGAAAAGGGTGATTATGAACCAAAGGCCTCGATAATTGAGCTATGTGATTGGCCGATTTACATTATGAATGCTTGGGTTTTAAGTAATGTAGATATGAATGTAATTTGATTAGTTCAAGTTGTTGTAAAGGGCATAAGCCCATTATTTGTGTTGTAAAAGGGCATAAGCCCTTCTTATTATTTCATGTATTCCTCTTTGATTATATGTATGCAAATTGGAATAGTTGGGTCCAACGCCCAATAGGAAATAACGGTTTAATTGGATTAAACGCGTAACTAAAATCAACAACTATCTACCTTAAACCCAAGGTCCAACACAAGGCTCGTGTTGGATCAAATCAAACGGTTCATAATCATCCTAAAACCTAATATGACTATATAGTCCATATGAGGATGCAATGCGTTCGTTAGTAGTTCCATATAGTCTCGCTTGTTTCAACGAAACAGTGGGAGTATTATATGCTACTAAATCATATTAACTTGGACCAATAGTTATGATAGGGCCATGTTCTTTTAATATGATTAAAATGTTTTGATGTAGCCCAAAACTACTCCCTCAAACGAATATTAAGTTGATAAACGAGAGATGTTTTGAACATTTCTTCGTAGGCCTTCCACCGTGGTGGGCTCCAATCGTTTGTGACTTGTACACCGGCTTCACCCTATCATGGGGGAGTACAAAGTGCATGCTTACACTCAGGAGGAGTCCATAAACATATGATGAGGTAAGTGTAGGCAACGAGGATAGCCAACATCGTATCATCGTGAGGTTATTCTTGAACCCCTACATGAACTAAGCATGGTGGGAATAACTTAACTAAGTGCAATAATGCCAACATCGTATCATCGTGAGGCAACATTCTCTAGAGGCCAAACAAGATGGGTAATTACAAACGTTGTAAATGAGTAATGCGTTATTCTCTCATCATTATTTTTGCTAACCAACATCGTATCATCGTGAGGTGGGCTTGGTAATGGTGAGTCTCCCATACCCCGCTAAGAGTTCAATATAACTCTCGAATTCCATTGAGGGATGTGGAGTTTGCCAAAAATAGTGGGTGATACTATTTGATTCAAGACCCAATCAAGTAGATTAATCAACAATCTAATACGATTTCTGTTATGTTATGTAGTTAACGACATGCCTAAAATACTACCCACCATTATACTTGACAAAATGGCCCAAGACTTTTTCCTTGCATATCTCTCGGATGATTTCACTAAGTTTATTGTAAACTATAAAGTGAATAGATTCGATCATACTTTTAACGAGATGATTGACATGTGCTGTAAATTTGAAAGATGTTTCAAAAAGGACAGTGGGAGTAAGAATGCAAAAACAAGGAAAAGGTTTCTTAAGAAGAAGGCAAAGAAATCCAAAGGAACAT